GCTAGCTCGTAAGCTGATTCTAATCACCGGGGTGCCTTCTCCTCGTCTTCCCCTCCAGACCCTCTTCCTACTCCTATCGCAAATATCACACCGAGGAGTACGTGCACGCATCACGCCTCTATGGAGGGAGAACAACGGGGGCCATGACCAAGACTGAACTGACGCGGCCGCGTCCTCCTGCCTTCTCCCCGCGTTTGCACGAAGGCAGCGAGACCTGAGGGAAGCGGGTCCGCGGATCCCCAGGGCTTCTGTCCGGGACCCGCGGAAGCCCAGAACGAACGAACGAATGAACGAGGCAACCGTCGCTTTGAAACTGACGCCCCTGCAATGGCATCGTTTCTGATTTTTCTGCAATAACCCAAATCATCTGGCTGGGGGTCGGGAGGAGGGAAGTGCCGGCCGATAACCTACCTTTTCGCTTTGGACAGCTCCACGTATGCACTCGCGCCCCAATACTGCGTACCCCCTAGGACCTGCGCAATCGGCAATGTTAGGTTATCCAGGGGTGAGGAGGGGGGGGCAGGCGGGCCCGATCCTCCCCGGCGCCCCCTCCGCCCCCTCCCCCGCCCGACGCACCCCGAAAGCGCAAGGCACCCGATCCCAAATATGGGATGCCCGGACTTTTGTCACACGGGGGTCCCAGGAAGTCCTGGCCCTTTCCCTGGGGCCACCAGCTGCACATCCCGTGTCATTTCTTGACGGTCTCGGGGCCTGGCGACGGCCCCCAGGGGGCGAAACAGGCTCCAAACACCTCCCGTACGTTGTGGTTTGCGCCGCGACGCGAAAATGCCTGGGATGGGCACGGGCCCCGACCCCGACCCGCCGCCAGGTCGCGCGACGGATCGAAACGGGCCGATCTTCGAGAGCCGTGCGGCCAGATATCCCCCGAGCATCACCGCCTCCGCGCGCTTGCCGTGGAGCCGGCTACTCCCCGGCTCCGGCCCTCCCGCCCCGGCGCACCGCTCGGCCCAGAGGCCAGAAGATCAGGGGCTGAATGCCAGCTCCTCCCCAGCCGTGGAACAATCACGGGGGCAAACTGTGGGCCCCTGCACAGTCAACAAAAAGCTTCGGGATGAAAAGCCAGACCCTGGGGAAAAGGTCGAGACTCCTGGGGGCCCCACAATAAAAGAATCAAACCGCGGCACCTAAGGCGAAAGGAACGGCGAGAGGGACGGGGGGGAGAGGGCCGCGGACGACCGGAGCGTCCTCAGAGCATGAAGCGACATCGGGTGGGGTGTGTCGGAGGCAGACCCAAGCGTTTGACATTGACAGTGCGTCTGCAGAGGCGCTGCAATTCCAGGAGAGGAGGAACACGGGACCCCCGACGATATAAAAGGATTGGGCCTCCAAGAGGCCCCCAAGAAGCTCCGCAACAGACGCGGAGGAAACAGAGGACGAATCAGCGGCGACTACATGTGGCCAGCACGACGGGAAGTATCAAACAACGCACACGACATCGGAAGCCGCACATCTCCTCCTGTGAGTCGGCGGACTGCGTTAGCCTCTTGAGTCACGCGCCGGGTGACGGATACGATCTGGACTTCTTGCGGGCGAGAGTGGGAGGGAAGGGGATGATTGTTTCCCGTCCTTCATCAGCCTGCGGTGACAAGACTCCAACAGCGCGGTCACAAACATGTGGCTGTTATGGGAACTGCTGGGCGCCAGAGGAAAAACATGCCATCAGATACAGGAACATAACTTGTATCCATGTGCTGTCTTTCAGTCGCCTGCTCCTGCCATAATCAGGCTGCCATTCGAAATTGGGAGGAAGATCGAGTGATAGACTGAGCTGGGCAAGAGAAAAGTGGCGCACGAAATCGCGCGCGAATGTTAAATGTTTGAAATGATTACCGCTGCCCCCGTACGCGGCAGTGGCGCGCGACTTCCAATGTCTGAAACGATTACCGTTGCAGCTGGTACGTGGCGTATCTGAGATCGGGGGCGACCAAGAGAGGGACGTCCAAGAGGGGGGAGCGCAAATCAGGGCTAGCTGGAGGGGGCCAGGGAAGTATTGGAATAACAAGAGGCGTCATGACATCTTAGGAGGCATCATGGCCTCCTCCCCTAGTCATCACCCCCCTTTTGGCCGCCCCCGATGAGTGCCTGTGCAGCGGCGCTTGCCGGTGAGTCGGGCAGAGGAGGGGATGGGGCCAGAGCAGGACTAGCGGGGGCGACTAGCGAACGGGCTGGCTCAGATGGCAGAGGGAGTCGCGGGGCAAGGGGGGGGGAGGGGGGGGCGACACGGGCTGTGCGGAACGGGGGCGGGGGGGAGGGGGCGGCGGCGGGAGGCAGCACGGTGTCACCCCGAGCAGGACCGACGACAGGAGGATGAGGGGAGGAGGGGAACCGACCAGGATTCTGGCAAGCAGGCTCTCCCCTGGTCGTCGAAGCACCACGAGCCGACGTCGGCGGAATCAGCTTTAGCCTGGACGAGGGGACCGCTGCTGGGAGAGGCTGAGCTGGAAAGGCGCCAGCTAAAGGTCAAGCTAAACAGTTCGACTAAATAGCACGTATGCACGCGTGACCCGACTCTGCTGGATCACGGGCTCCGCGCCGCCAGTATGAGTCACGAGGCCGGGCCGAGGTGGGAGTAAATACCCTTACCCTGCATGGCTATAGCAAAACTGCGCAGCACTCGCGCTCCCAAAGCATTCGAAGTAAACAGAGGCGGTAGAAAACAGGTTCGCTCGAAGGTTGCACCATCGCGTGACAATTCTGCTGCGCGCGCGTCACGCGTGAAGTAGAACGTCTCTGCACGTCCAGCGATGTTTCGAACATGACCGATTACTCCCTGCAGTTTTGAGGTACGGTTTCCAGGATTCCAAGGCAACTCATGTAAGCGAACCAAGAGCTTGGCTGTCCAGAGAACAAAAAAGCGGCAACAATGCTGGGGCCTCAACAAGAAGAGCATCAGGCTGCTCCCGTCGTGAACTATAATCCAGCTGTTTTATCCTCCACCTTTCATCTACACCTCACGTGAGCTGCCTCGCTGTCTAGCAATCTCTCGTCGGAGAAGAGGCGGCCAGCGGCGACATGGACTGGACTCCACCCAGTGAGCGCCCACACACTGCCGAGGGAGCACCCGATCCCTGAGCTTGATCAAGCTTTGGCTCAACGTTTGGCCGCACAGGCGTCTGCAAAAAGGCAGGCGGTGGCGTTGAATCGAGAAGAGCGGAACTAAACCCAGCAGCGCCCTGGCCCTGCGCAGCGCGGCAGCGATCGCTGTGCATCGGCATCAGCGCAGGCCAGCTCACGCCATCCTTCGGCACCCGTCCAGCTCATTCCCCTGCGCCCTAGGGGGCCCATCGCACCCCTCTCGAGAGGGGCGTTGAGGGGCCAGGAGCACAGCTTCACCATTCGTGGCTGGACTGCCCACTTCCCCTCCCCTCCCTCGGAGGCCGGGATTTGTGCTTTATGCATATGTATATGTATCGTAGCTGTGTCTGTGTAAATATATATCTATATATATATATATATAGACATATCTATATGTATGCAGCTCTTCCATCTGGGGAGCCGAAGTCCCAGGACTCTAGGAGGCAATGGATGTGGATACCTCTGGGCCCCCCCATGCCTAAGAACATCCGTATCCACTGCCTGCTTGGGCCCTAGGGCATCGGCTCCCCGGGCTCTGGCCGCGACCCCCTCGGGGAAACCAACAGAGATCGATATCGCCTCTCCCCGGACCTCTCCCAGGCCGCGTCCTGACCAGAACTTCATGGCGAATCCAGCCGTGGCGACGAGGGCCTCCACAGAGGCCTAGAAAGGCGCAGCCGAGGTAAAGGCAGCGGTATTGGTACATATTCACTGATCCCCCACCGTCGTGGGCGAAACAAATATATGTATACACGGCCTCGCGGGCCGGTCCCCTGGGCCGCCACCCCACGGAAACGGGGCGTTTTTCCCTGGGTGCCCCGCGCAGAACGTATCCGTGTGACCGCATATCCGCGGGATCGCGCCCTGGAATCCAGACCGCGATGGTGTGGATATGGATGCGCTCGCCGCTCCTGCCACCCCCCTGCTCACGGAGCCCACGCGCCTCTAGCCCAGGTGGCGACATCCAAACAAACCCTACCCGCGCCAACCATCTATGCTCCTGAATCGATGGGAGGCGGGGGTGGGGTTCGGATTTCGCCACGTGCTCGACGTCCGAATTGCAAAGCCTACCCCCGCCGCCCATCCAGTTGCATGCATCGGTGATCGGCGAGGGCAGGAGTTCGGAGATTGCCGCCGAGGTATGCATGCGCTCGCCGCTTCGTGACCTCCCCCCCTCCCCACGGAGTGAGTACACGGAGCCCTGTGCGCCTCAGCAGCCCGCAACCCGCGCGCTGCTCTGGCTTACTCGCCAGCCTCGGCCCGGGCGCCGGGCTCACATGGCTCGGCCGGCAGCAGACCCTGATGCCGGCCTCTCGCCCCGACGGCGCTGAGCACGTGCTGGCTCGGGTTGCGCTCGTCGGCCAATCCCCTGGAGGTGGCGATTACCCAAGTGATTTCTTAGCAGGGACCGACCGTCCCGGCATTCCTTTGGGCATACCACGACATGTTCTTCGAACCCGAAAAGTGTTTACGAACGAAAGCCATGCTCTCACAGCAAAAACATATATTTAAACAAAGCGGTCTCAGCCAGCCATGTTCTAAGAACATGTCGTGCAAATCACCAAAAAGGTTCTTATAATAGGCAAGCCAGGACGCTTCGCCATTACTTGAGATCTGGTGTGGGGGACTGGGAGGTGCTAGCCGAGAAACGAACCGTTTCGCTGGGGGCAGCCCCAGGTACGCCTGCGCGCACCAATACTGCATACCCCAGTCGGAGCTGCGCAATCGACAAGCTCTAGTTATCCGGGGGTGCGGGCGGGTACGTGAATCCGAGTTATCGCCAGACTACAAACAACAGTCTCCACTCCGCGGCCTCAAAGATCCCGACCCTCTCCCCGGGGGGTGGTGTTTTGTTCCGGCTCCATTTTTCATTGCCCTGGGGACCAACAGCGAGCCACAGAGGCCTAAATCCAAGGAAAGCGCCCCGTCCGAACAACACATATCGTCGGCCACCTGGGCCTGGGGGCGCTGAGCATGTGCTGGCTCGGGTCGCGCTCGTCGGCCAGCCCGCGGACGGCGTGCGCGTCGCCCTCGCACTTGCTGCCCAGCATCGCGACAAGCTTGCGTTGCATCCTCTCGGGCTTGCTCGGCCGCGCCCTGCGCCGGGTCGCGTGCGGCAGGTGGCAGAACCTGCACGTGCGGCTGTTCGCGCAGCCCGCCCTCGTCTGATGGTAGAGGCACGGCCTGCAGGTTCCGGCGGCGTGCTGAGTCTCATTCTCCTTCAGCCACTCTGCGTCCTGCTGCTCGCGCTCCTCTGCCCTCCGCGGGGTGTGGCTCTCGGAGTGAGAGCTACCCGACGCCCAGCCAGAGCTGCCGCTGCCGCTCTCGCTCTGGCTGCCGTCGCTGAAGCCCCACCTGCTGTCGCTGAGGTCCTCCCAGGAGCTGCCCGACGCGGACGTGCTGCTGTACTGGCCGCCGTGGCCGAGCTCCTCCGAAGGGGGGATGGAGTCGCTGCTCCCTGCTGTGACCGATGCATATTCCGAGAGCGAGTCCTGACTCATGGCTCTCACTGTGGCGCCCCGACCTTGACCATCATCTGTGCGCGCGGGCCTCCCCGCTGCGCTGTCGCGAACTTCCCGAGCTGCATCCGCCCGCGCGGGGCATCCTCCACTGGCGCTGCGAAGATCACCGTCGCTCCCACTGCGGCCGCGGGCGGGCCCGACGTCCACGCCCACGGCGTCCGAAGAGCAGCCCTCGGCGACTGGCCCTGCTCCGTCGGCATGGCTGGGGCCCTGCGCGCTGACGCCACGGCCGCCGCGCATGATGGTGCTCCGCACGGGGCAGTCACAAAACACGGGGGCAGCAAGCTTCGATGTGCTCCTCGGCCCTCCCCCTCCTCCGCCTTCCCCCTCTCCCTCCCGAAGTGGAGGACCCCCTTTTCAGCTGCAGCGCGGGGCCAGCGCATGCGAGCGCTGGGGCAAACGACATCCGTATCAATGCAGTAACGGGTGGGGCCCAAGTCACCCAGTCACACCCAGGCCGCCCGCCACGTGCGGCCCCGTCCGAGGAGGACCCCCCCCGCAAAATTCTGAGTCCTGCTCGCCCGTCCCACCGCTGGGAGGGGCTCGATGAATACTGCGGGTCGACACAAGATGCCCCCCTGCCCCGGGGGGCCGAAACAGAATCAAGGGGCCGAAACTGTCTAACTGGCCTCCCCGACGGCCAGGGGGCCAACCCGAACTGCCCGCCTCCTGTGAGCCGAGCTCCTCGGCTTGTCATTCTGGGGGCCGAGGGGCCGGCGACACCACGTTTTGAGCGCCCCCCCATCAAATCTGTTCTTGATCGCTGACCTCGATGAACAAACACACCACGTCTTCTGGTTAGGGAGCTCGGTGCACAGACGCCCAGGCTGCTCAACCTGTGGGACGCTGGAGCGTCCATACACTGACCTCCTTCGCCGAATCGGGAAAGGCTGCAAACAAACATAAGCATAAACGGTCGGAGGTCCGCGCAGATTTTTTATCGGCGCTGGGCCCTCTTACTGGCGCGCGGAGCGCGTCCAGGGTTCCAGTGGAGGCGCCGCCAAGGAGGCCCAGCTCCGATCCGATCAGTCCGCGCGGAGCTGCAGGCGCTTGGGGTTAAGACGGTATTCCTTCTTTGGGAATAGTTGGGCTCTGTGGCCAACCACGCGACGTAATGTGTGTTGGAGAAGGGGGAGCGCGACCACCAAGGTTCGACACATCGGCTATGTAAAACCACAGTGCGAGTCAGAGAGTCGCCAGGCACAACCAGAACGCGGCACAAACCGCCCTGCAGTAGGAAAACCCATGCTGTGAACAATGGCCTGGGAGGAACGCGCGGGGCACCACCACAGCGGCACCACGAGCTACCCGTGACCGTTGCTGCCCGGACACTACCCGTGCAGAGGAAAAGGAGGAACCACACCAAACGTATGAACATCAAACCTCTTCGAAACCGCGCGCCCCGAAAGTTTGGGGCTGCCCTGGGCTTGCGCCGCAGGTCCGCGCCAAGGGGGGCGGCGTGAGCAGCCGAGCGGTCCCCGAGCGGCCGCGCCCCTCTTGTGGGGGATGCGCGCGGAGCTCGAGCCGAGGTGCTGCACGGCGCGCGAGCCGGCTTGCACGGGCGGCCCCGCTTCGCCTCCTTTCCCGTTTCCAAATCCCCCCCACCGCGTCCTGCTCTGTGCGTCCTCGTTCCCACTCACTCCCTCCTCCCGCCCCCCCCCCCCTTACCACCTCCCTCACCCTTTTCAATCTGTGTCCCCTCTCACCCCCAGCCCCCTTCCGTCAGTCCTTTTTTTTGGCTCATCCAACTCCCCGTCTTCCTCCTGCTCCTCCACTTCCTTCTCCCCCTCCTTCTCCCCCTCCTCCTCCTCTTCCTCCTCCTTTTCCTCCTTTTCCTCCTCCTCCCCCTCCTCCTCTCCCTCCTCCTCCTCCTCCTCCTCCTCCTCCTCCTCTCCCTCTTCTCCTCCTCCTCCTCCTCCACCTCCTCCTCCTCCGCCTCCTCCTCCTCCTCGCCCCTCCACCTTCCAAGCCCCCCTCCTCCCCCTTTTCCCTTCTCCTCCTCCTTCTCCTCCTCCTCCTCCTCCTCCTCCTCCTCCTCCTCCCCCTCCTCCTCCTCCTCCTCCTTCTCCTCCTCCTCCGCCTCCTCGTCCTCCCTTTCCTCCTCCTCCTCCTCCTCCTCCTCCTCCGGCGGACGCGGGTCTGCAGCGCGCCGGAAGCACTGTGATCGGGAGCCGGCGCAACCCCCCCACCCCAGGACAAGCACGCCGCTCAGCGGCAAGCAAGCCCCAGAGCCGAGGGGGTGCGCCGACCAGGGCCTCTACCTCGCTGACACGGGAGCTTCGCAGCGACGGACAGCATGGCGTGGCCGAGCGCGAGCGCCGGTCGCCCGCCCCCGGCGCCGTCCACAACTCTGTGCCCGCTGGCCGCCGTCGGGCCCCGGTGGCTCGGCGCCCCATGGGCCCCGCGGCCGCTGCGCTCCCAGCTCTGTCCGCCCCAGCCGCGGCGGCGCGTCTCCCCAGCGCCGCCCCCCGCGGGAGCAGCAGCGGCAGCGGCGCCGCAGCGCCGCCCTGCCCGCGCCCCGCCGTCGGTCCAGCGCGGCGCCGCCGCCAGCCCGGTGGGCGGCGTCGTCAGCTCGGCGCCCGCGCGCGCGCAGCTCGGGCGCCGCCCGCGGCGTCAGCGGCCTGCCCAGCGGCAACGGGGCGCCCGTGGCGCAGGTCCGTCAGCAGGCAGCTCAGCCCCCTCCGGGGTTCCCGCGCTGGGCGCGGGCGGCCCAGCCCTGCGCTTGCGTCGCCGCCAGCACCGCGTCGGCGGCGTTGCGCTGGACCCGAGCGACTGGTGCAGTCGCCGGATGGCCGCCGGGCGCTCCGTGTCTTGCGCGGGCGCCAGCAGCCGCGTCAGGGTCAGCGCCTCCTCGCCCAGGCGGCCGCAGCCTGGCAGGTCGAGGTGCAGCAGGCGCCGCGGCGCAATGTCGAACTGCGCGTTGGTCAGTCGGTGGCCGGGCAGCGTCGGCACCTGCAGGGGCGCGCTCGCCCCGGGGCCCCCAGCGGAGCGCAGGGCGGCCGCCGCCAGGGGGTCCGCGGCCGCTTCGTCGGCAGCGAAGCGGGCAGCCGAAGCGAGGGGGGCCGTAGCCAGAGTGCGCTGCGTTGCTGCCAGCGCCTCGTCGCCCACGTGGGCGGCGTCGTCTCGCAGAGCGGCCTCGAGCGTCGCTGCGGCCGCCGGCAGGCTGCGGCGCGCCCAGGCTCGCCGCGGCCAGGGCGCCGGCGCTCTCCAGGCCCAGCCGCCGCAGGCAGCGCGGCAAGCAGAGGTGCCAGGAGGCGGCGCGCGCAGCGGGGGCTGTGAGCTCCGCGCTCTGCAGCCCTTCGCCCCAGGCCGCGCCGGCGAGGAAGAGCTTCCGCTTCCGGCGCGCGGCGTCGCCCAGCGCCTCGCCCGCGGCGTGCTCGTACTCTGCGGCCGGCGCCCGGTCCAGGGCCCGCGCTTCCTCGCTCGGGAGTCCGCGGGTGCGCGCCAGGAAAGCGCACTCAGAGCCCGCCCTGGTGCGCAGGAGGGTCACCGCCACATGCTTGTCGAAGCCCGCCGCGCGGAGGGCGCGGAGTCTCGGGCAAAGCCGCCTGCGAGCCGTCTGCAGCAGCGCAGCCACCTCGGGGCTGTCCGCGGCGAGGCGGCCCCCTGCGGCCGGCGCGGCGGCGGGGGGGGCCGCTGGGGCGGGCGGCAGCGCGCCGCGGCGGAGCACCAAGGCCCGAGGCTCCAGCTCGCGCTGCCCAGGGAGCGCCGCCACGTCGACCTCCCGGCCTGGGTTTAGCTTCGTCTTGCCCGGGTTGCCACGGAAGCTGGCCGCGGCGCAGGCACGGGCGACAGCTTCCTCGGCGGCCTCAGCTCTGCGCGGGTCACAGATGACGTCCAGGCCATCCTGGTAGCAGTAGCGCCGCGCCGGCTCTGCCGCTGCGGCTGCTGCCTGCTCCACGGCGCTGGCCGCCCCAAGGTAGCGCAGAGGGAACGCCTGGTTGGTGAGAGCGTCTCCCTGGTCCCAGCCGCGTTCCTTCGGGGGGGGGTCTGCGCGCCGTCGCGCGCCGCGCGCACGCGCGCGGTAGCAGTGCTCAGGCCCAAACGAGCCCAAGGCAGCAGGTCCGGAACCATGGTCGACACCGCTGTCGCCGCGGCTGCCCGGTCGAACTCGCTGTGAGCGTTGCTTACGCCCAGGCTGAGCTTGCAGCAGTGCGGCCGGCTGTCGAGGTCGAGCAAGGCCGCCTTGCGCATGCGTTCCGCACCCCGGGCGCTCCCCACTGAGTATTCGGTGTGCCCCAGCGCCGCCGCCACCCTGCCAGTGAACTTCCGGCTGACTGCCTTCGAAGCGGCACGCCTGCGGGCGCTTCCCAGCGCGAGGGGGCGCACCTTCTCCTGCTCTTCCCGCTCCCCCGCAAGGATCCGCGCTGACAGCCAGGGCCCGTGCACCTCTCCAGGGGCCCGGCCGAGCTGCAGCCGCAGGACAACGCGTTCGAAGCTCCCCCACGCGGCCGCGCGACGGGGCATGTGCGCGCGTGTAAGCCTTCCGGAGCTCCGCCAGGAAGCGGTCCGCGCCCTCCTCCTCCAGGTCTTCAGCCGCCAGCTCTGGCTGCGAGGCCGCCCGGAAGGTTGGAAAGGCGCCTCTGGGCCTTGCTGTCCGAGGCCATCTGGGCCCGCCCGCCCGCGACTCTGAGGGCCTCCCAGATGTCTTCCTCCGCCAGGGCTCCTTCGATACTCTGGATGCCCCGGGCCAGCTGCTGCGCCTCTGACGGCGTCGCTCATCCGAGGCCTTCCTGTGGGATCTCGGACTCCTGCCAGAGGATGTCCCATGGGCCCTCCCACGCCGGCCGGGCGCGCCTCGCCAGGGTCCGGGCCAGGGTTTCGCCCCTCTGGCCCCGCGCCCCTCCTCGGCGTCGGCGCGCCGCGGCGAAGAGCAGGCGGTCCGAGAACGCGATCGCCTCGAGGAGCCGCGCCTGCTCTTGCTCCGTGGTGGCCGCGAGCGCGGCGTCGCACGGGGCCCACTGCGTGCTGGACCGCCCCAGGGACCGCGCGGACCGTCCGCGCTTGGTCGTGCAAGCGGCCCCAGGGCAACGTGTCCCAGAACTCCACGCGCTGCAACACCCCGTGCTGAACCTCCCCCCCCCCCCCCTCCTCGGTTCATGTCTCATCCCTGGCCCTTCTGCCCGCTGCTGCCCCCGGAGCAGCACTGGCCAGGGGCCCAGCGGCAGCTGCGGCAGCTCCGCCGGCAGCTCCGAAAGCGGCCTGCGCCTCCGCCTGGCGCAAGTGGCGCCATCTAGTGAGCTGCTC